TCCCTCCCCTACCCCACCTCCCTCCCCCGCTGCACCTCCCCCCTACACCTCCCTCCTCCTCCTCCGGTCCCCCTCCCCCACCTCCCTCTCCCGTTCCGCCGCCAGCGTCGTCCCAAGGAATTTTGCGTCTCATGTTAACTATTATAGGTAACATGTTAACTATTATAGTTCACACGTTGAGCTCAAAACATATTTATGAAATTATAATAGTTAACATGTTATCTATAATAGTTAACATGTTATCTATAACAGTTAACATGAGCTGGCATGAGAAAGAGAAAGGGTAAAATTAGGATTTTAGGAGCTGGCATGTCTAATCATGAGTTGGAATCATGATGGAGGGCCCTAGACACAATTTTTTCAAAAAAAAAAAGGGGGCTGCAGCACATTAAAAAAATGTGAGGGGCTGGGGCAACATGAAGCCAAAACGAGAGAAGCTGATAGCCCCATCTCTCTTAAAGACACCAAAGAAAGAAAATACATCATTGCCCTCTAACACACATATGTCCTCTAGCATCAAGCAAGACGAGGCAGCTCGGATATGTTAAAGTAGAAGTGAAGAGAATCAAGGTTGTGTATAATACTGGCTAAGCAGACGGCAACATGATTAGTCTCCCTGTAGCAATGAGAGGCTCTGATGCGGGGAATCTGCATCTGATGAAGCATGGTTCTCCACTCATGAGAGAGTTGCCAGTTAGGAGAGTATTTGCCAATAGGACTAACGAGGATTTTTGGAGTCAGACCTAGCATGCACATTTACATGCCCCTTAGAAACAAACAAATACACGCTAACAGCCATGCTCTTGATCTCAACCTGTAAACTTGAGCCTAGTCAGTTTGGCCAGAGAAAGCACATAGCATCTTCCCCTCATGATCCCTAATTATACCCCCAACAGTAAGAGAATACATATCATCAAGTAAAAGCAAGTAAAAAATAGTTTGGTATGAGTGGACTTTGTGTCGCTGATATGAGTGGTTGTACGGGGGGAAAATAGATTATACATGGGACAAATTTTTAAAATGAGCCATTTTTCAATTTTATATAGCAATATCGACCTGATTAGAAATTAATCTGCAAAACCGACCCTTTTTTTTGGAAAATGGTCGATTTTGCAACAGCGATGTTTTTCGAGCTACACGGGACTAGCAGTCACGTGTAGTTCGGCCAGGAATTGAAATGCACGGGACTAGCGATGTTTTTCGAGCTACACGGGACTAGCAGTCCCGTGTAGTTCGGCCAGTAATTGAAATGCACGGGGCTGTTAGTCCCGTGCATTTCATTTTTTTCTTTCAGACAGTCTCTGCTTTTTACTTGGGACTGATAGTCCCGAGTAAAAAACAAAGACTTTTTCCGTCACAAACCAATTGCATGGGACTGGCAGTCCCGTGCTTTTCGGGACACATACGAAATGCACGGGACTAGCAGTCCCATGCATTTCCTGTGCACGAAAACATGCACGTGTATGTTGCTTTTCCTTTATCTGTCAATTCTTTTTGTCAATTCCCTGTATAAACTCATATATCAAATCTAAAAATCATAAATTGCACCATTACATTTCCTGTTAATTCCATGTATAAACTCATATATCAAATCTAAAAATCATAAATTACATCACAAACACAAACTCATTTACAAATTCAACAAATCACACCACAAACCCACTTACAAATCCAACAAATCACGTTACAAACCCACTTACAAATCCAATAAATCACACCATAGTCTCGGCTACAAATCCAAAAACCATCTCACATCCCGAAATAGATTTGTAATGTACATACCAAAATAGGATTGTAATATATATAACAACATTGATTACTTTACATACATCCAAGAACTCTTCTCCTCCTCCTTTGTCTTCGGCCTCCTCTATACCGACCTTTGACGAGTTCGTGATCCGGTTGCGTTTGTGGTTGTGACGGTCCAGCTCCGTCGTCAACACGTTGGGAAGGCCCAGCTTCATTGTCGTTTTTGCGTCATCCTCGTCTTTGTTGTGGTTGACGCGTGTATACAAATTGCGTTACCTCTCGTCCATCATGAAGGTCTTCGTGAGTTCGGTGTAAGGCTTGGTGAAGCCTCCGCATTATTGACTGATATATTGATGCATGGTCCTGTGCTTCGGGAGATGTACCTGCGAGGGATAATTCAAAAAATCAGAAATGCAAAAATTACTTTAAAATTCAAATTACATGATGTAAATTTCATATTCAATTCTATATTACCTGCTCGAGCCAATTCCATGCCACGATTTGCAATGGTTTGAACATCATCTATTGCTGATACCTGCAAATTTTTCAAAAAACACAAGTTAGCAATATTGAGAAATACCAATAAAAATGGACTAAATTGTTCAAAAACAAAAATTGAAAAATATTTACTAATTCTCTCTCATCTATACCCCGAAGCACATATCCTTTTTGTAACTCAACCAGTGTTGTGGTCTCATAGAGTATCCATCTTCTGGTTATCCCCCAATACCAAATGTAGTAATCTGATTCCCGGGGAGTTTGTTAAATTTACTCAACAATACAAAAATATCTATCATTCCATCTGTGTATATAATTTTGATGCTCAGCTACCCAGTCCTTTTGTTGGCCTTCTTTCTTTGTCTTCCTCTCTATTTTTTCAACAAACTCCGGAACATGTTGTGCAAGACCAAATTGCCAAAGCAACGATCCAGTACATGCATTTCTACTATCTCGAAACATATTAGAGGAACTCTGGCTCTCCATGTAACTAGGTATTCTATGCATACCGGGGTAGATGATTGAGAAATTAGGTGTAGGGCTCCCATTCCATCTACAGAGTATTTCATATAATTGTTGCATATCATTAAAACCAAAGTTGATATATAGAAGTAAAAGCTAATTTTTATATTAGTGATACCTGAAAAATCTTCATACGGTCAAGCTCATTCCGATAGAAATCTAATTGTCTAGCTGGGGTCTCGTCATAACATTTTTGGACATTTCATCTGTGTTGTTTTCAAAATTCAGTACGATAATGATAATTACAATTATATTTGCTACGTTAAAAATATAATACATGTAATTCAGTGGAATTTATCCATCTAATTGTAAATTCACGCATAGTCTCGGCTTCAAGTGAAGTCTCTCCCATGCCCATACTTGCAGTAAGCTGAGACACCCTTTAAAGTCACTATTTTTCATGAATTCCACTTTGGAGATCTCTCTATATAGGTACGCCAAAACGGCACTACTCCACGATAGATTACCACATGTGTCCAAGTCCCCGATGAGTGGTAACCACCTAGCATATTCACAACATTTCAAGTTATTAAAATAAGCTAATTCATGTCAATTATTATAAATACAAATTACACATACCTGGCATGCACTTTATATTTACTCGAATCTGGAAATAATATTGAACCGATCATATGCATAATGTATGCACGTGCATGTTGCTCAATCAATATTTGCGGTGCATCAATAGGCAACGACACCGAGAAAGTCTCTTTCAACCACTTAAATTTAATATTTCCTCCAGGCATTGACTCTGGAGCTACACCCAACAACTCCTCACACTTGTCCGACCAAAAATATCTATCACTGCCGGTAACGCAAGGACCATCTATGCGAAGACCGAGTATCATGGCTACATCCTGTAGAGTAATGGTAGACTCTCCCATTCTGAAGTGGAAAGAATTGGTCTCCGGCTTCCATCTATCTATCAAAGCGGTGAGTAGGGGCCAATTAAGCCTCATCCAACAAAAGCTTTGAACATGTCAAGAAGTCGGCACGTCCAACCGCGGCTATAATACGCTCATCCTCTAGATGCCAACGACTATATACGAGGCTATGATCAACCATAACGATATCCGGGCCTTTCTATAGAGCAAATGAAAGTATAATAATACAATATTATAATGCAATATTATAATTATAAGAAACTTAATTACCTGGATATAATATGTGAACGGTGTCGAGGCTGGTCATATAGGACCTCATCACTAACCGGCCCAGGCTGCATGGTGTAGATACCAACACATATCAATAACCGATCAAATACTAATTATAGTTTCTATATTACAATATATCAAAATTTGAATATGTCAATTATTACCAATTAATTGCTATCTATTGGGTCTAGCTGGACAACGAGGTCGAGTATGCCCCGGTTGTTTGCAAAGACTACTTTTTTTTTGCTTGACAACTCCTTCTCGCCCTTGATCCATGGTTCCCCTAATTCGCGCAGATCGTGATCGACCTGCTTGTCTCTTGTATTGAGGTGGAATTAGACGTGGTCTAGTATATTTGGGCCAATACCGACTATCATCGGGTGGATGAAAACTCTCAATGTATGTCTTTCGGTAGTGAATCGTTGAATACCGCCATTTGCATCTACACCGATCGCCACAAGAAGCACGCCTTTGTAATTGCCATATAAATGTGTACCGTCAATGCTCAATAACGGACGACAAAAAGTGATGCCTTTAATAGCAGGACCAAATGCCCAAAATACTCGAGTGAACATCTCCAACCCCGGTGCAATCTCTTCAGACAATATTTCATATTCAGTACCCAGATTATTTCGCTTGATAGCTTCAAGATATTGTAGAAGTAATTCATATAATTTTTCCCAATCTCCAAATATTTTAGACAATGCTTTCCTCCTTGCGTCATATGCCTTATATTTAGATATCTTAATGCCCCGCATATCATTTATCATTTACCCTTTGAAATATCTGACCTGCATTTAGATCAAGTTCAGCTATAACTTCAGGCATAATTAGCTTACATATATAAGAGGAAGATGCAGAATAATCATCGACATCCACCGACGGATTGAAACATGTATGAAGTCCGCAATATCTAGATATTACAAATTGCTCATTTGATGATTTTCTCACAGCTGCATTTAGCAACCAAGGACGTTTTCTGTTTCTCTCATCTTGCTCATTTGCATGCTCGACTCGACTTCAATCTTCTCGTTAAAGTAACAATTTACATAGTAGTTTGTTGTATTAGTTTTTACAGGCTTGAATTTGACCCGGTTTTTGATAGACCATTCTCAGATTGCAAAGATCAATGCTTCCTTGCTCTCGAATAGGTCCCCTTTTTTTAAAATGAAGTATTCATGTCGTTGAAAATTTGGACCAACATCAACAAATTCAGCTTGAGAAGTATTTATCAAATCCTTATTGTGAAACTCGTCGGGTAACGGATCTTCAGCTTCCACATAATCATTGTTAACATTAAATTGTTCCATCCAACGGGAGTCATCATCAATTCCAGCTGCCATCTGCATGCTATCAATTTGCACGCCTTCTTCTTCAATATCTTATGAGTCATCATTTGCTTCTTTTTCTACAATTGATCCGACCGGTAGATCACCCATAACATGGCCCAAAACGTCGTTAAAAATAGTACTTTACGTCCCACCAAGAGAATGGCCACTTAAATGTTGTAGTTGAAACCACGGATCTTGACTTGGAGATGTCATAAAACCATTCGACTCATTGTCTAAGTCAAGCATCCGAGAAAACTCTCCTTGAGGTCGTGAAACTTGGGCAAATTCGTGCATTGTCTAAGTCAAGCATCCGAGAAAACTCTCCTTGAGGTCGTGAAACTTGGGCAAATTCGTGAATCGGATACTTCTCAATGAACAACTCAATTGACACCTCCTTGAGGTCGTGAAACTTGGGCAAATTCGTGAATCGGATACTTCTCAATGAACAACTCAATTGACATTTGCTTCTCGACTAATTGTTTAATGTCATTCAATTCCTCATCGTCGGTAATCTCCACAGCAATAGTTATACTCTTATTTATCAAACAGTTGAAGAACACCTTAATTGCATACTCTGCTTTATTAATTTTAGTAACTCTATGTATTTCATTCATCATTCCATCAAAATTATATGACTTAAATAGCATAAACATTTTCCTAGAACCTCCCTCATACATAGGCATACTATTCAATCCGACGCTGAGGCTCCCATTGAAAAGCTAAATAATGGGTATAAAATTTGCCATCGAATCTGAAAAATTAACAGTTCATCATATGTAAATAATCTATTATAACTAAAAATATTAATCTTAATTTAAAATCAAATTTAAAACCCTGATCTCAACTGAAAAGCAAATAATGGCTAAAAATCCTAATCCCAAATTACATTATTCATAGCTAAACCCTAATCACATTATAACTAAAAATTATTCATAAAATCCTAATACCAAATCACATTATTCATGGCTAAATCCTAAACCCAAATCTCAACTGAAAAGCAAAAAATCCTAATCCCAAATCACATTATTCATGGCTAAACCCTAATCATGAATATTCATGGCTTAACCCTAATCACAATACTTATGGTTAAACCATAATCCCAAATCTCAACTAAAAAGCAAATTTCATGGCTAAACCCTAACTCCCAATTCATATCCCTCATCACTCAACTAAAAAGCAAATTTCATGGCTAAACCCTAACTCCCAATTCATATCCCTCATCAAATTTAACAACAAAATTAAAAAAAAAAATTTCATGGCTAAACCCTAACTCCCAATTCATATCCCTCATCAAATTTAACAACAAAATTAAAAAAAAAAATTACCTTGATCGGAGCTTGGTCGGTGACGGTGGTCAGGAGCTTGGTCAGCGGGGTCGACGGAGGTCGGCGGAGTAGAGAGAGGGGAGGGGCGAGAGAGGGAGTCGAGAGAGGGGCGAGAGAGGAGAGAGGGGCGAGAGAGGGGAGGAGTCACAGGTTAATGAGGGAATGAGGGGGTCACGGGTTAAAAAAGAAGTGCACGGGACTGCTAGTCCTGTGCATTTCAATTGCTGCCCGAACTACACGAGCCCGAACTACACGGAACTAGCAATCCCGTGTAGCTCGAACAAACACCGCAATTGCAAAACCGACCCTTTTCCGAAAAAAAGGGTCGGTTTTGCAGATTAATTTCCAATAATGTTGGTTTTGCTATATAAAATTTAAAAATGCCCCTTTTAAAATTTTGTCCCTATACATGCAATGTCGTCTGGATACATAATTACATATCATCTCCATTTCAATTAAACGCCAGAGATCACATTCTAAATCACAATCATGACAGTGGTAATTTGTGTCTAGCGAAACATTGAAGTCGGTTACACTTCACAAAAGAAAATAATGTTAGGTATATAGAATGAATCACGACTATCTAAATAGGGTTAATTACCCCCTGTAGTGAATGATAAGTTGCTTTTCTTTTGTCAAACTAGCAAAGAGGATCAAAATCTATGACATATCTACATTCGCGTGCAACTCTAAAATGTTATAAATAAGGTAAACAAGGCATAGGCGTTGCTTAAAAGAATCAATTGTAAGATGCACATAGGGGAAATACTACAAAAAATTTAGCAATTTTCTTAAGATTCGATCCTCTATACCATTTCTCTTAGCTCCTTGGACTTTTTAGGATTAATGCATATGCATCTTTATGCACAATCTCTTATATCCCCTAAACTATTTTATTACCAGTTGCACCGGTGAACTTCAGACTTCATTGTTCTCAAACTGATATCATGTCCTGTTCCTCAGGTTAACTGAAAAACAGACTAAATTGAATTATATGTCAAAAAACAATGTTGTTTAACAATTATGTATATATGCAGGGACACAATAGACAAATACTGCGCTTGCCTGCAAGAAATATCATGTGGTCTATTGCAAGCAATGGCGAAGACCCTAGGGCTCGACTCAGAGAGGTTTCTGGATGTAATGAAATGCGGGATTCAATCAATGAGGTTCAATTACTACCCACCATGCCCAAAAGCCGCAGATAAGGTTATCGGCCTCTCTCCTCACTCTGATTCTGATTTGCTGACACTACTCCTCCAAGTGAATGATGTTCATGGCTTACAAATAAGGAAATATGGAAAATGGTTCATTGCGAAGCCAATTACAGGAGCTTTTGTAGTCAATGTTGGTGACATACTTGAGGTAATTTTTGACCCGACTCCTAGCGATTGTGCGTATTATATGTACATACTTAAAACCATATTAAAAAAAACTACACATGGATAGTTGGTGCTCAAAGAAAAACTGTCAAATTAATTTCTATATCATGCTTTTTCCAAGAAACTCTTTCATCTACATTGTTCGACAAAAAATGACCATCATTTATGATCATTAGTGAAATCATTAGTTCTATATTAGAGTTCCGTCTAGACATTTGCCTTGTGCAAACATCTGTTCAAAAGTTCGAAGAACAAAACTTCATTACAAAATTAAGCAGTTTCCATTAAAACTCATGGATGAAAGAGTTTTTTTTTAACTGAACATTTTAGGTGAGGGGATTTTGAAAAATAAGATATAGCCGAAGGGATGTTTCCTATGATTAACCCTGACTTCTAAATGCTTCGAAGGTATAAAGCAAGACCTAAGAGGACAAGTTTACATATATACATTCATATGTCCACAGATATTGACCAATGGACGATACAAGAGCAATGAACACAGAGCACTGGTACATGCAGAAACCGAGCGCATATCACTGGCTGGATTCCACAGCCCAAGCAACGACGCCATAGTTGGACCTCTTCCAGAGCTTGTGAAGGAACAAGGCCGGGTGAATTATAAGACGATGACATATTCAGAATACATCATGGCGTACTTCAGTAAGCAGTATGGGAAGAGCCTTTTGGAGAGTGCCAAGATTGTCGAGTACTAGTTTTTCTTTTCCAATAATTTCATGATTTCAAACTATGCATGCGATTTGGTCAATAAAGAGAGGCTTGTTTTAGTTATGTTACACATTGTTCAGTAGTTCGCTTGTTCTTTTTTTAATTATTATTAAAGAGTTTGCACGTTTTCTACAATATGTCTAAAGGAACTCCTACAGGGAGAAATGGGAGTATTGGCAAAGTACATACTTAATTGGTCTTTGCATTCGAGATAAGACCTATATAACAACGTAGTTGTCAAATGAAGTAATAAAACCAGCTACAGTTAATCAAATTCACAAATTAATCAATTTCCTTCAATAACCAAATATAAATAGGGCATAAGCGAAAACTAACCTGGAATAGACTCTAGTATCGACGGGCGAGAGAAGCCTATTAGACTCTTGTGCGGATAACTTGGGGTGAAGGAATCTCCCATTGAATCAGCAGGTTCGCCCAACAAATATTGAAACATCGATAGACATGATAGTGGCCCTTTTTAAACAAAGCCACATTTAGCCTAATGCAATTGATCATTCCATAAAGTACATATGGGTGAAGAAGTTACTTGGTGATAATCAGCAATATTTTCTTACAGAACTCAAAAGCACTCTGTGCAAGCTGACTGAAGCTCCAAGTTGACATAATATAATCTTAATTGGTAAGGGAACCGCATACTGGGAGTTGGCAGATTTGAGAAAGGAAAGCGGAGATTATTTCAGTTTTCTAGGTCCAAAGAATATAAATGTAACGAACAGATATTGTAAGCTGGCATCTACATCAGTCGCCTCTGGCAGCAGCAGCCTACAAAAATGCACGATCCCGCACATCAGTCATGTTTGATGGTGTAGAAAAATAGCAAGGGAAGCATGGTATTAGCATTCTGCGTTTTCTCACCGTGCACGAGACCAGATATTGTTGAAGTCCCTTCTACTACACCAAGCTCTGTATTAGCCTTGGTGCGAGGGAGGGTTGGATCAGCCGCGACATCCTGTAGTATCTGAGCGCGTTCAGCAGCAGCATGATGTATCTCATTCCTATAGACACAGTTGTTATCATAAACCTCCTGCAACGAAAATTTAATCCCTCAAATTAGAAAGGCATCATGTGAAGGTAGAAAAGCATCCTCAGCGATACGCGGCTATATGTGATTTTAAATAGGGTTAATTGCAGAATAAAACCTCTGTACTATCGCACAATTGCAGATAGACCCTCTGTAGTTCTAGTGTTAGAGAAAGACTGCTGAGTGAAATTTTTTTTTACTCTTTTACCGTAGGGAGGTCTATGTACTATTGCCCAATTATGGATAGACGCCTTGTAGTTCTATTGTTAAAGACAGACCCAAGAGTGAAACTTTTCAGACTCTTTTACCCGTCAAAGAAAGAGAAATTGGTTTTGACAAGTAGACCTCCCTACGATAAGAGAGTCAAAAAATTCCACTCAGTGGGTCTAAAGAGAAATTGGTTTTGATAAATAGACCTCCCTATGACCAAAGAGTCAAAAAAGATTCCACTCAGTGGGTCTATCTGCAAGCGGGCGATAGCACAGATGGTCTATCCTCAATTAAATCTTTTAAGTAAGTATAGTTCTTCTGAAAATTCATAATAAATATTCACTTGAATGTAGAACAATAAGTCAGAAAATAGTTCAGCGTACAGTGTACACTATTTTGAGGTGTTACTCTGGCTTAGATTAGGAAAGCAAGTATAATTACTTTATATTAAGGGTTAACTACGGATGGATCCCCTGTGGTATCGCGGTTCGAAGCTTACTGTCCACCTAGTTTTGGGTAAATTACACTAAACCCCAAGAGGTTGTAAAACCCCAATAACTTTCAAAAATGGCACTAAACCCCCAATAATGTTCGCTGAAAAACCACAATATCTTTTGGGTAAACTACGCTAAGCTCCCAATAAATTTCAAAATGCCTTTCAATGATGTCTTTTGGTTCTAATTTATGCGGATTAATTATCTGCAAATAGCCCAAACTTATTTGGGGGGTTTTCTTTAATTCCAAAAGTAATTGGGGAATTATTGTGATTTTTAAAGTTATTATGGGTTCGGGCAATACACTGAAAGTTCATTGGTGTAATTTACCCTTTCGCCTTCGCAGGTAGACTACCTCAGTGATATATTTTTTGACACTTTTCCCCCAAGGTGTCTGTTTGTCAACAGAGTCGAAAAAAGTTCGCTCAGGGGTCTATCCGCAGAAAAAAAAAATAGAGGGTAGTAATATCAAATCAGTGGTACTGCAGGGGAAAAATAACCCATATATTAATGAAAAATGATACAGGCACTCCGGCCACATCCCTTTAGCTACAGTGTAGGGGCTCACTTGAGTTTTTTTTTAAATCTCAAGTGGGCCCCCTACACTGTAGCTAGAGGGTGTGTAGTCGGAGGTGTGCCCGATGGTGTGCCTATAGCGCCTCCCTATATTAATGACGTACGAGGAATGTGTTTGATTACTACCAATGTCCTTAATAAAATCGAGGTCTATAAATAACCGGACATCAAGGTTTCCTAATCTACAAAAATCCGAACTTTAATCCAAGAAAAGACACAGAAACCCTAGAAGTGGATACCTGATGATCGCATGCAGTTGCGGCAAGCGAAGAGGAGGATTTCTCTCTCCCTCTCCTCTTTGGGGTACAGCAAGCTGCTGCTGCTGCATCAAGAGCCACAATTGATCAAAAAACTAGGGTTAGGGTTTACGAAAAATTGAAAAGAGAGAGAATGCAGTAGGGGTTCACGCGACGTACCACTCGCGGCAAAATCTCATGGCGCTTCACGGCGGCGCTTCTATTTCTGTTTGTTTATTAATTAATTGAGAGGGGAGAGGGTTTTATGTTGGCCACCTTTTGGGATTTCGTGGGCCGAGGTCAGCGGAAGCTGATGCTATGATGTCACGTGCTGGGTGCGTGAGGTACCATCTTAATTGAGGAGTTTTGTCATTTTGGACCCCTAAACTTTCCTATTAGTTCTGTAATGAGCCCACACCTTCATATATGCAATTGACGCCCAAAAGGTAAGTTGTTTTAAACAAGATCGCGCAAATATATGCAGTGTTCACATCGAATCCTAATCATTCTTAAACTTATCGGTTTTTGTGCATATATTCGTCAAATCATGCGTACTAACTATCCTCAAATTTCAACATCATATATGCGTACTAACTATCCTCAAATTTCAACATCATATATATATATATATATATATAAATTTTTTTTACATATTACATTGTTATCCTAATCTATTCTAATTATCATATCTTCTTTGATTTGGTAATTAAATAATTTATCATATTCATAATGAGACTTAACATGTTATTGGATAAAGAAGATACGTTTGATATAATTCAAATCATTTACTTTTTTTCAATTTGCAAATAAATGTAAACAACATATGCTAACCAGCACCTAAAAGTTTTTGGACTTTGTAAAAAGTATCCTCCACGTTTTTTAAATTGCAAAAACAACCTTACAAATTAAAAATTTTATTAAAATATATTGAAACTTATAAATTTTACTTATTTCAATTCAATGAGAAATCTGAAAAATATATGCTAGCTAGAAATTATAAGTTTTTTGACTTTGTAGAAAATATCTTGTAAGTTTTAAAAAATTGAAAAAACACCCCTAAAATTTTAAAATATATAAAAAACCCTTTGAAAAATTCAAACCTATAAACACACTAAAAACCTATAAATAACACAAACAACACCCGAAAATTCATGGAATTTACAAACAACACTGAACTTTTTACAAATTGCAAAATAAAACTCTTTAAATTATAAAATTTACAAAAATCATGATAATTTTTAACCTAACAGTACATTAAAAATATAGAAATTACAAATATCCCCTACATAATTTATAATTTATAAAAAATACCCTTAAAGTTTCAAAAATTATAAACAAACACTCAAAATCTAAATTTTAAAGAACACCTTGAGAATTTTAAACTTATTAGTAAATTAAAAACATATGCATTGTAAATAATCTATAAACAATTTACATTATATAGAAAAGGCCTATAAGTTTAAAAATTGCAAAAAAAAACACCTAAAATTCATAATTTATAAAAAAATCATGAGAATTTCTAACTTATAGACACTAAAATGAATATACAAAATTACTAACAACCCCTAGAAAATTTAAAATTTGCAAAACATAGCATACTCCTTTTAAAAGTATAAGTTTAGGAAGAAAACTTTTCATGGTCATTATTACTCATAACTTTTTTGAAAAGAACATAACTAATTGAAAAGCTATTAAATTTAAAATTTATAAAAAAAAAACACCCTAAGGATTAGTACATTTCAAATTACCCCTCCAAAGTTTAAAAATTTTTAATGGTTTTTTATAATTCCTTGATTTCAATGTAATGTTAATAGTTTTGTGTATTTGTAAATTACAAAATTTTAGGGGTTTTTTATAATTTTTAAAAATTTTGAGGGTGCTTATTTTGTAGTTTTCTAAATTTTCATTGTGTTTTCACTGTAATGCATATATATGTTAATTAATAATGATATTAAAGAATAAGTAGTTCTTAAGATGTATTAGGCCATAATTAAGTATGCACATCACTATTTCTAGGCAGGATAGTTTATACATGCAAAAAATTTCAGACAATATATATAATGGTTAAAATAATTTTGACTTTAATATACTATTTTTTATAAATTTTATTTAATGTGAACCCACCATATAATTTTGATTGTTATCATCATAATATTAATACGTTTGATTGATTGACTATATAGGTATATACACTATAATTACGTTTACTTTCTCACATGAACTAATATTTGGCGCTTAATAATTTAAATTATTACTTTTAAATTCAATATAAAGAGGAGCTCTAATAACATTTATTTATTTACCTACAGGATAATACAATCTCAATTCCTATTTTTCCTTGAGATTTATTCCATAGTTACATGTATCAAATTAATAACTAAAATAATAATTATTTATGCTTAAATTAGGATGATTGTAGTTGGTCACTCACTATAAAATTTTTATGAAAATATATGTCTTACTTTCTATAGCTATATATACTTCTCATGTATATTTTATAAATTAGTTGTTAATTTGATATATTAAATTATTTTTCTTTGTAGAATTTTTTTTAACTTTTGGATTATGTAATCATTATATCACCATCCTAGCGTAGAAAGGATCTTATTCTAAAGGATAATTTTTCAAAACCGACCTTTATTAAAAAATATTTCCAAAAAATGGCATGTTTCAACAATATTTGTCAAAACCGACCTAGTTTCAGCCATCAGGTTGAAACTTGGTCGGTTTTGACGAAAGAAGTTCCCAAACTTCATGGGACTTGAAGTCCCGTGAAGTTTAGCAGCCATTTAATTAAGCTGCTAAACTTCACGGGAAGTCCTGTGAAGTTCCTTTCAGCTCTGAAGTTGTTTTGAATTATGAAACTTCACGGGACTTGAAGTCCCGTGAAGTTTAGCAGCTTAGTTAAATGGCTGCTAAACTTCACGGGACTCTAAGCCACGTGAAGTTATATATTTTTTTTCATCAAAATCCATCTAGTTTCAGCCGTTTGGCTGAAACTAGGTCGGTTTTGACGAATATTATTGAAACGGGTCATTTTATGGGAATAATTTTGTAAATGAGACTGTTTTGAAAAATTTTCCTACTCTAAATGGCTCTAAGCCAATGTTTGAGTTGAGCTGAACTATATACTATTGCTACTATGTGTATATATTTTTTTAAGAAAATCATGTCAATACTTTTTAAACAGAATAGAATATTCTAACAACTGATATTATAAAAACTAAATATATCCAATTGAGTGATTAGCAAAAGAGAAATCACATCAGAAAATCATGAATAATAAGATAAAGAGGAAAAGTAATGGTTTTGTCAACAGTACTACCAATAACAAACTACAATGTAAAATTAACCTATTTTGTGGAGCCTAACTACTGGCTATAAGCATCGAAGTTTCTATATGTATTCTTTATAATTTATTACAAAGGATCATATAATCTTATATAATAAAATTAATTTAATACTAAATAATAACATCATTGTAATAATATCGTTATTAGGGAAAATTCTTTATGAACCATTATGTTCTTTATGATATATAAGCTATGCACTCCAAATTATTGTGTCTTTTATACAGCCAAAAAGTTTGAATACGAGCCTCTAACATTTTTTTCTCACAACAGCAAAATCCATTAAGCAAATGTAGATATTCCAAATGAGTTATATGTCTTATATACAATACAATTGTCCTAGGCAAGTGAATTATGATAGCATTTTTCATTCACATTGTTTGGAGCAAGATTAGATATGGACATTGCATCAAAGAAAAAAGAATTTTATATTTAGAGCATATGGCGAAATATATCATATCGCTCTAATTTCGTAAGAAAATAATTCTTCATACTTTCAGTTTTACTTCTATGATACAAAAAATGAGCTATAAAATTGAATGAGAATATTAGACAATGTAAATATGAGTGAAACCACAACTAAAAGTTAATGTGAATATGTTCAAAGTTAAAAGTTTACTGGGCATATTGCAAGTAAATTCATATGCAAAATTCCTTTACGAATTGAATGATCCCCCATCTTTTGAAAACTTCAAGATGCTAATAAACATAGATGTTGTACTAGATCAATGTGTTTATAACTTATAAATAGTAGATCACGTGGCCACTGTCTGTGTTGAAAGAAACAATGACAATATTTCATTTAAGAGAGATTATTGAGTTGATGATAAATCCCACAAAAAACATTATTTTCTTTTTAATTTTTATTCTATTTTTATTAATTTAAATAATCATGATATTCAACCACGTGCATTGCACGTGCATAAAACCTAGTTTGTGTAAACGTCCAAAAAAAATCATCAGTTTTGGAAGAAGGGAAAAGAAGCTCAAAATCAATAAATCATTACCTTTGTTGAATATGGATTGTAATATTCAGCCAGTCAAAAAATAGGTTTTAAATCATGTACAATAAAAAGAAGAAAAAAAAGGACAACAGACTCTAAATCTGATTTTTTTTGCCCCCGAGCAAACGAATACAATCATGCTGTTTTTTCATTTTTTGTATTTTGACTATATTAAGATCTCGTCTGTTTAGGTAACATTTAAAGCATCAATCAGAGTTCCTGAGTTCTCATAAAAAGAATAAGAGGCACCTCGGGACTTCATGGCAGTTACAAAGAAAATGAGAACGCACATATCTCAATTTATACTGTCATTTCTAACTCAATACGCTAGTGCATTTCTAACTCAATACACTAATGCATCGAAATTGCTGCAAGAAACAAAATTTTTTTGAGAAATGTTCATTGCCAAAATGATAAGTTAAATAAACTATCATTTCTTATCTAAAATCACAACATTCAAATCTTAATGCAGAACCTGCAATCTTGACTTACGGAGAGAGATGATCCAGGACATAGAGAATTTCAAGACGAGCAACACAATCGACATTAAAAATGAATTCCACAGATAAGTATTACATGTCGACAGTGAATATTTACTGAGCGCTGCTACAAATTTTATTTGGAGTTATCAGTTAATGTGACCAAAGACTTGACAACACCAGGACTAACCCTGTCAGCAAGAACTCCTTTGTCGGAGATTATCAACGACTTCTCTTTCACATAGCTCTGCAGCTTCTTGGTTTCGTAATCCAGTTTCTCTTGATCTGTAGCAGAAAAAGAAAGATTTAGATATTGCAGAATCTATATGTAAAACGGACTTCACTTGAAATTGTATTTTTGATATTTAACGTCTATCATTAACTTCAGAGATAGTGACACTAAGATTAAGTAAATTTATTAAACTGGGTTGTAGCTTATGTCTAATTTTTTGCGATTTGATTTTTAGCCAAGAGAGCTTGAGCTGAAGATCAGATACAGGCTGAAGAAGTGGCAAAAGGCAGAGAGCAGGATAAAGAACTCTTAGAAGTGTAAAATTAAAGAACCCAACATTCTACATCCAATTAAGCGGGGCTAGATCGCATGTGTTTCAGAAAATTAATTTATGGGTTGATGCCCTCCTGAAGATTATGTACAGCTGTACAGGCTTAGCAAAAAATCCAGCACATCAATCTGATGCTTCTGTTATTGACTAGTAAATGACAGGTCTCTAGCTAAGATTAAGAGACTCTGATAGCAGATTGAAGACGTTTTGTGTCACAGTGTGCATAGGCTATTAAAAACCTTGGAGGTCATAGAAAAGCTTATTGATCAAAAGTAACTCCCTCTTACACAACACAGAAGATACTGACCCACTTTCATAAATGGAGAACCATAGTCATTTTTAAAAAATAGAAATTCAAAATACATTATACATGATATACTACCTTCAATGGAGTAAGTTGCCACAGTATAGACAATGATGAACAGACGTGGAACTGCTCACTTTTGAAATATGAGTAATCAAACACATCATACTCATAACAGATACCTATATTGACGGTTTGAATTAGTTACTTTTGGGATCAACAATGTCATCTGCACATGATCCAGATGCTCTGAAGTTGAACATCGAGGAAAGAGGTTCCTCATCTTTGGCACAACATTAGATCAGTCTAAAGATAACTGAACCAATAATAATTGCTTGTACACAATGCACTATTACTACTGCCCGTGTTTTCCTTCTACTATACTAGGTCTACACAGGTGGAGCTCTGTTAACCTTTAATTAGGAAAACAAATACGCTCATCGAATAAACAGTTCAAACAACATATCACTAAGGAAATCAAAGTCCCTGGTTATACTCATAGGTCTGCCCTGTAGATAAAGAGTAAATAAAATATGTCGGAATTTGTAATATGCTGCCATTTTCTAGATTTTTTAACCTCAAAAAGAAAGGCCCTTTCTTTCAGAAAACTTGCAGTCTGCAAGAAGTAACAGAGACTGAATTCACCTCCCATGCATACTGTAGTCACAATCAATACTACTACAAATGCCAATAGGTTTGAAAACCAGATGAAATGCACTGAGTTTTCTCAAGAACTAGGATGAATATTCTGCTCCCAGGGTTCAGGCTGCAGAAGCTTAAGGCTCTAATCGATGACGAAGAGAGCTTGAACAAAATTTATACTCGCTAAAACAAATGGACAAGCTTGAACATCAATAGGCTTGCTTTACTCGTACAAAGCTCAAACAGTTAATAGCTTGTATAGGCTTGGTTTGGCTCTTGATCCAAGCTTGGATCATCAAATGATCAATAATTCAGGATTGAGCTTGTATTTAGATTTAGGTTAGTATTACTCAATGTTTTAAAATCTTGGTATTACTTGAGATTCTAATTACTATAGATAATATATTAAACTTATCACAACCAGTCGACATCAAAATAAAGACATCTAACAGAAAAAACTACATCATACTCTTTTTCTACTTTACTTTCACATTTTCAAAATTTATTGACGTTCTCTTTTTATAGGCGATAGTAGCTTGTTTAAATCACTAGGCATTTATACATTATTTAAAAGGTCAAGGGGAAAATTTTAGCAGCAATGCAGCATACACTTATCACATGTTTAAGTATAAAATTACAACCCATGACCCTCACAACTTCGGACTTTTGGTATTAACGGAAGCAATTTTTAACATGATAGCAAGGAATCAAGATTAAATCCCAGCTAAGACATATTTATAAAGGGATTCAACCAAAAAAAACAGAGAGAATTGTTGCATAAAATAGCCAAGGTATCCGTCCAAGTAAAAGTCCCTCAACTTGGGTAGGGGGATGTTTGAGAATAAAAGTATAGCCTTCAACTCAACTTGGAGTTTTGGTGCAGTAGAAGGGATATTAAGATTGCAATACAAAAAAAACGGTTACACTTAAGGCAAAAACTATTTTCCTATTATTCAGTTGCAAGAATAATCTTAGCATACATCCTTGGAGCTACTGAAAAATGCTATTACTTTTCCTACTTCCACTAATTCAGTCCTAAAGAGTGTCAATACTCGTATTACTCCCGTGTCAGTTTTAAAATGTGTCTGCTACTACTATTTGATTGCATTGTACATGGGCTTAAGAAGATCGAGGCTCAGTGTTAGCTCATTGACAGCTCTTAATCGGGCTTGAACAAAACTTTAATCCATGAAAATAATTGGATGAACATGAACGATCGAAAGTTAGCTTCTGCTGTTTGATTAGCACCCTATTGGTAACACAGTTTTCAATAGGCAAGCGTCTTTTAAACTAAAGACTTGAAGGGCCTTTTAAAAGATAATTGCAACCAACATGTTATTAACAAGATTTTCCTGCATGGCCTCCATGCAAATTTCATAAACTTTGTCATTGAGTTTTGTTTTAAACCACCTAGACTTTGCCTACCATAGCACACATTTTGCTTAAATAGATTATATAACCTGATTAATGTTCAAGTTTGGTAACTGAGTAGAAGTATGCACCTTTCTCTAGTACTGTGTGGACTGCATGAAAAGGCATACGCACAAAAATATCAGATCCTGGAAACATCATCCATGTGTATTCCTTCGAGTCGTGATTCCCACAAGTCGAACAAATCTCTTCCACAAGTGGCCTTGATCCAGTTCCCTCTAAATCCTTCATTATTGCCTCGAAAGGAGATGGAACACTGCTCTTTGTGGTGCGAGCCTTTTTGCGAAGAGCTGTTAAGGCCTCTCTGTTACCATTTCTTATCCTGTCATTTTCAACCATCTGGTATATATAAAAGTTAAAGTCAAACATGTGAATTACAAAATTACTGTTATAAACTAAAAGTTGTATATTTTCTGACCTGATGCCTTGCCAAGAGGATATGCTCAGCTTCGGTTTCAATCTCAACTAGAGACTGAAGCAGCTGCTTCATACCTGCGTCCATTGATCTGCATAGGATATTGGAAATGAATTCAAGTAGTTGTTTAGTTTTCAGTATATATGGTTACCAATTATACTTGTAATTGCATTCACAGTTTTTCAGTATTTCTCAATAGCTTGAATTTAATGCGCCTCAAATAACATGAGGTTGCGTTTGGGAAACGAGATTTAGATTTGGAATGTATATTTGAAATCAAATGATTGAAAGTGAGAGATTTGAAATCCGTAGATTTATGGATCATGTATTTGGATACTTTTTTAAAATGAAGGGATTTCAATTCTTAGATTTCAAGCCCTACTATTTAGATTGTTATACACAACTCTAGATTTGATGCAAATTGTAAAGTCTTCTCCCCAAATAATTAGTGCCTAATCACAGAACTAATTCAGGCTACAAGGTGAAAGATTTAGATCTTTGAATCAACTACCATCCCAATGATTGGTACAAATATTTCACTAATGCTAATCCATAAGATCTCATTCTCTATTATAAAATCCTTAACTTAGTAACCAGTATAAGAAAGACCCAAGAGTCTCATAAGTCCAATTGCAGCCTAATCATTAAAATTTAAAAATATCAAACTCTTGAACCAAATGAAACTTCAAATCAGACTCGATTCTTATAATCGAAAAACCAAAAGGGTTATGTGACGCCCCAGGGTTCACACAAGGCTGCAGTCCAAGGTGAAACCCGGATTGTCAAACCTGTCAAGCACCAAACACCATGCTACGACATGTTTCACCATCACAGTCACAATCTCTTTAGTGGAAACAACAAATAGGTGAAGGTACAAACAGGCAAATAATAAAAATAGTACAAAATCAGATATGCACAGAAGAAGTATATCAACAAATGAGCCCAACTGAAATAGAATGAAGATATCTTTGAGTCAGAAATACATTTCAACACAATGAGTCAAATGAAATCTCACTAAGGCACTCAGCCTCTACAAAAATGAATACAATTCTAAAATCTGAACAATGAACATATCTATAAAGTGGAGCTTCAACTACTAAAACTGTACGACGGCGACTATGCTAGAACTCCGTCATCATGCGGTTCTCCGAAACTCTGATCTGCCTGAAAGATACAATTTAAACAAAAAAAACAACAACAAGAGTGTCAGAACGCTACAGCAAGATCACCTCCATCCGCCCCCAGGGAAAAGGGCTGCTAGATGGAGTGGAGGCTCTATTTATTAAGCATAGCCTACCTATATCATTTTCCCCGTATCTAATGGAGTTAATATTTAGACACCTACAAGACGAGACGTAGTACGTCGAGCAAAATAATCCAAACAAGAAAACCCCTATATATACTATATGTCTCAAATTGTAGATCCATAAATACCAATTCCAACTCTATGAAAAAAACAACACTATATATACTATATGTCTCAAATTGTAGATCCATAAATACCAATTCCAACTCTATGAAAAAAACAACACTCAAAAGAAATACTCCAAGCCTCAACTATATAGAACCAATGTTACAATCTCGAACTACTTCTCAAGTAGTTGGCGCAATTATAAGAGAATATCGTTCAACTCAAAAATCATCATAGGCCATATCATGTATGCCACAAACCAAAGAATGTACCTTACTCATGGGTAATCTAACACGAGAGTAACTATAATTAATAATACATATATGTGTGCATCTCTTCATGCAATAGCGATACTCTTGTAATATTCTTACTCAATCGCTCTGCGGCAATAGGTTTTATCTCCCTATCCCGGATACATGGAATGACGATACTTTTGTAATTTCATACTCAATCGCCCTGCGAAAATAGGTTTTATTATGTCCTTACTCCGGATACATGTAATAACGATACTATTGTAATACTCTTACTCAATCGTTCTGCGATAAATAGGTTTCATCTTCCTATTTCCGGATACGTATAGAACATCATTATTCATATGTGTTTATCAATTTAACTCGTGTCGAAAATGTGTCAATCTAACACAATCTAGCATACATGCACCAATCTCGGAGTGCGTGTCCACATCTGAAGTTCACCATCATCCCAGGTGTTTAACAATCACTAATATCATAGTCTATCATCATAAGGTCGAGAAATTCGTTCGACAACCAAAAACAAACTCAAATATACATGCACAGCCGAAACAGACTGGCGGGGGGGGGCGGGGGCCGACCGTGACGGGCTCTAGAGACTACCCAGGTCTCTGTCCTGCACGCGGTCGACCGTGACGGTCGACCGTGAACCCTGTTTCCAGATTCTCATGCTCTTTGTGTATGTCGTGTTCACGTCGTGTTTCCTCGATATAAACATGTCTAAAACTTTATAAAATTTATATGCAAACATGCCACAGTAGATGTGAACATCTGGAAACAACTCAACAATTATAAACATAATTTTATGCATTAGATTTGTATTCAAAACCCTAAAACATGCATGAAGGTTCAAAACAACAAATCAAACCTCTTTCTTTAGATTAACCAAATTCTTCAATCTAAAGAATGTACTTTTAACATATTAAACATAAGCATGATTGCCAAACAACATAGAAAAAATAATCATTCATTAAATCATATTTTAACACTTAGATATCACAAACCTAGGGTTTTCTCATCTTTAATCCACATGCAAACTTAATTAAAAGTTAAATTAGGGTTTAGACATGATTAGCACATGATTAACAAGATAAAAACGAATTTAAAAATAACCCTAATGATCATGATCATATTTTTATTATTAACAGCAAGAAAAACATGTAGATCTAATATTTGTTTAAGATCTAACAACAAAAATCTAATCTTTTTCACATTAGATTAAGATCTAAGCATGTAAACACAAATTAAACTTCTAAGCTAGTTATTTAACTATGGTGATGGGTTTGGATGTAAGTGATCTTGCCTTAATCTTATGTGCAAACCTCTAAAACAATCAGCAAGCAAACCATGAGCATGAACAACCCGTTCTCCCTTGCTACACGAAGATGATCTCGCCCTTGTGACGGTGTTTTGCTTCACAAAGCTCTCCAAACTCATAAGAAAAAGATCTAGGGTTTTTGAGGGGAGAGGGTGGCTGCTAGGGTTCATAGATATGATAAAAGAAAAGAATTTTCGTGAAAAACACAGATATTTATAGAGATAAACCCGAAACAAATTTGTTTGACCCGAACCAGGAAACCTAGTCTGACTAGAAAAACAATCTTCGGTATTTTGGCTGCAACTTTCTCATCCGACTTCGGAATGATGTGATCTAAGATTTGTTGGAAAGCTGTTAAAGAGACCTACAACTTTTGTCTTTTACACTTTTTCAAATTCTGGCTGTATCGGTGTGTAAAATATAAAAACTCTCAACTGGTCATTATTCTCAGATTTTCACTCTTTTGGCCTTTGTGCATGTTTTGTGCATTTGCACTCATATTTTCATAAATATACATTAATTTGATCTCAAATCAATTATTATCATATTCAAACATCAAAATATATTATTTTTTCACCATATAACATATTTTTGATCTCAAATCAATTATTATCATATTCAAACATCAAAATATATTATTTTTTCACCATATAACATATTTATCATTATTTATCATAAAATATTCAAATTTACGGGGTTTTACATTCTTCTCCCCTTAAAAGAATTTCGTCTTCGAAATTCCGCAATCATATCGTAGAGGTTAATAGTACATTACCATAAATCTTCAGATATAAAACATTGAAATATCTACACTTAACACTCTAAAATACGAATATTCCCACTTAACCCCTAACTAAACGGAACTAGTACGTCGGGCGAAAAATCCAAACAAGGAACCCCCTATATATATATCATGTATTCCGAATGATTAGGAGCTAAGTGTTAATACCCCCATTTTAACGCTAAATATAAATATGAACATATAAAACAATTAAAACTCATAAACATCAATAAGCTATAACCAAATCAATTTACCCACTCGAACAGTTGCGGGTAGTCGCAACGCATATCCTCCTCGCGCTTCCAAGAAGCCTCCTCATCTCTTTTCTATCTCCATTGAACTTTAACTTAAGGTATTACTTCCTTTCTAAGCCTCTCGTTCTCTCTAGTAAGAATACAACCCGTGATCTCCATGGTAGTTAAATCTATATGTAACTCAAATTCTGGTACATCAATCACCCTCTGCTACTCCTCGTCACGCAATTACTTATAAATTATCAAAACATGGAAAACATCGTGTCTACTCGACATTGATGTTAGAAGATCTAGCCCATACAAAACGGCTCCAAAAATGTTCAACTCTCATGAACGGGCCAATATACCTTGGGGTAAACTTTCCCCGTCTACCGAGTCATTAAATACATCGGCGATATTTTCAATAAGACATAGTCCCCAATCTAGAACTCTAACGATCATCGTCTCTGGTCTACGTAACTCTTCTGACGACTATGTGCTGCAAAAATGAGTTCCCGAATCTTTGTTACCTTTTCTGTAGTCTGCCATACAAGATCATGTCTAAGCAATAAACTTTCTTGTATTTCTGTCAAATGAGTAAGCAATCTATAATGCCTCCCGTATTATTCCTCATACGGTGTGATGTCAATAGTCTATGATAAATGATATTATAATCACACTAAATCAATGGAATATGATCCTCCCAGTTATCCTGCAAGTCTATAATACATGTTTGCTACATGTTTTCTGACACTCGGTTTACTCTCTCCATTTTCCATCCGTCTACGGGTGAAAAACACTAGAATATCACACTGGCTATCTATCAAATTCTGGAAACTCCTCTAGGAGTGTCTCTTCACATCTTTGTACATTTTCATTGTACCTGAATACACTGTATATCTGGTATGAAGCGGCTCAACTGTCGCGAAATATAAGTTATACCCTCCGGGTCTGCATCAAAACACCTCCTAGTCCTGCTAATGACGTGTCCACGTAAACGACAAATGTTATACACTGATCAGAAAAGTCAAAATTGTTATTGTAGTCTATCTAACCTTAATAGTCTCAAAGGCTCTCTGGCACCCAGTGCCCAAAGC